GCTCCATGCCGTACGGGCTTGAGATCCAACCTCACGGCGCTGAAGTCTCGCTTTGGGGATTTCTTTGCTGCTTCTCCCACAACAACTGCCTGCAGCCTGAGCCGAGCCACCATCGTCAACCTGTAACATGTCCAGGCTTTCGCTGACACCTTCGAGAAGCCTGACATGGACCGACATGCCATGCTGTCCAGGGCAAAGCAAACCTCTCTGGGATTCAGTGGACTTCTCTCAGACTTTGCAGGACGCATACACGAATTGCACAACACTCCGATGCTTTGTGTATGTCTGGATCCTGCAGATGACTTACGTGAGAATGCAGAGCGAGTCCGATCAACACAGAAACCCTGTTGAGGCCTACAGTACCTCTTGGCGGGATCTTCGAAGAATGTTACACCACGTCAACAAGCGCCTGGCCCGTATTACCGCCTGTTTCAATTTTGCTTGACTTTCGTGCTGCTCTGTTGGTTTGCACCATGTCGTTCCAGGGTTTTGTTATCTTGGTTCCATGCCTGTATGTTCAGAATCCTTGCGCTTTGCTCACTGCGCGTCCCTTGTGCGTGCTTGTGTTCACGACATTTTGTCATACGTATTTGAAGCCTGCGCATGTCTAGTTCACAACGGAATCTTCGCAATCACCCTTGCGTGCTGTCACAAGAAACACCAAAGGGAGCAACCCTCATTTGCTGCCTTCATTTCGGTGATTGCTGTGCAAAAGAAGGGGACATTTCCGGTGCCGTTAGCACGCGGCATCAAAATTTTCATGATTCTTGGGTCCAGTTCTTGGGTGGGCTGATGTGGACTGATCTGACTGGACAATTGGCTCGCAAGGATGACAAATGGCCGGTCTGAGCATCACGCTTTTCGACTTCCTGCATAAGCTCGAGGCACACCGGGCATTGAAGGCCTCTCATAAGACTGCAGCTGCTGACGCCTCCGCTATAAGCGCTGTCTGAGTGAGGCGCTTTGTCGGCTCCTGCAAGGATCCCGCCTGTACCGGCAAGGGTGATAAATCTGTAAGCCGGGGGACTACAGGTTCATGCCTGCTGGTCGTGGCAAATCCGCCGACAGGCCTCCCAAAGTAAATGAGGGCCGTGAGGAAAACACCGTTCTTGGGTTCCGCGGCCGGGGTTGAGAAGCACTCCCTACACCTGCGAACTTCCTGCCATCAGAGCCACGCTGTACATTTAAGCGACTCCGTTGGCTAGCACCAGCATCACGACCAAACCCTCTGAGACCAGCACGTCTTCCTGTAGACGGGCTACGCCTAGGGCAGCTATGCACCAGGCATTTGCAGGTTGTATACATGAGGACTCAAGACATCGATGGCTGTGCTTTGGAGGCCCTTGTCCCCAACAAGGTCTCAAGATTGTTTTGGGTCACTCACGACTGCCAACTCTACACGTTACACAAGGATCGCAGGCGTCCTTGTAGTAATTTCTATGCACCTGGTAACAACTAGGTGGAACCGCCTACTGTTGTGCGGCAGGGAGCCACAATTGTCGGCATTGCTTTCGATTTGTGCCTCCTGCTCGCGGCTTATGAATGCTGGCATCACAGGATGCGGGACAGAGACCTTCAAGCCCAGGTGATCTACGTGGGAGAACACAAGACCAATGAACGTGCAACAGAGCTCTCACACTCCGGACCACAAGGTACCGACTTGGAAGCATGCGAACCAGACACTTGGAGTCTGGGTGGAATTGGCCAACAAACTGAGGCTCAACGGGCACGCATCTCTCCATTCCTTGGCTGCTACCCGTTGCACAGGACAGGGCTTCAGGTGAATATGCGAAACAGTAATTCCGCGGGCATCGCTGCAAGACCTTCTGCAAAACGGCACGTTGCCAAGTACGGCGACAAGAGGTGTGCACTCCCCACAAGTTGGGACATCGGGTCTTGTCAGGAAGTGAGCTTGTCAAGACTATTGATTCTGAGGAACCATGCATTAAATCAATGGCCCAGGCTCTGCTTCTGGAGCATGGACTTCTCCTTCTCCGCCTCACAAGTCTCACATGCTGCGCATGTGGCATTGCACAGAATTCAAGTCTTGAACTTGTTGGGTGCAAGCGCCCATGTTGCCACGTGTTGTCGGCATTGTCTGCTAGCTGTAGGGTAACTGTCCCCGCAGCCTCTAGCGCGCAGCAGATTCACATGTCAAAAACTATAGTTGTATTTATGAAGCTCGCCACGCAGCGCACAGACCGTCTTTAGTCGCAAGGCAGTTATGTGAAACTTTCTGCTGCTCTATGCCTTGAGCAAGCGGACCTCAGATCTTCGCCACAACAACAACAACAACAACAACAACGAGAACAAACAGAACAAGAACAGGAAATCAGCCAGTCCTTCTCAGCTTTTGCTTGCAACTCCTGCAGCAGGAGAGGGAAGCTAGAGCTTACGGCTGGCAGCCACTTCTTGTAATCTGCATTTCTTTCGAACATCATGCGTCGTCCCTCTAAAATGGTTGAAGAGGCACTCAAAGATCAAAGCCGGCCTTGTTCTCTTGCTGCAGCCTTGCCAGCAACCTTTCCAAAAGCTCGGGGCCTGAGGCCACTTAAAGACGCGTTACAGTTCCACATCTGAGCCCTGGACAACTTGTTCACACATGATAAAAGCACAAATTGTTGGAAGGCGACTCATTTTAGACCGTTGCCATACATCTCATGCAGACCGCTTCACAATGTCGCCTTCAAGGTATTCTAGCTGCGGCTGCTCCTCCTGCATCACGGCTCATGTTCAGTGTGAGCTTGCGAGAAGAAACCGCGAGGAAAGGAGGCTTCTGCCCTCTTGTTAGCACGCCGCCTCCATGGAAGGCTCCATCGCAGATGCCACCTGCGAAAAGGACGCCGCCTGAGGCACGCTAGCAAGACTTGGTTGTGGCCGCAGGGCCGGGGAGCATACTAGAGGGAGAAAACTGACTAAAACAAGCCGGTGCCGTGGTGTGCAGCATGACAAAAAACGTGAGTGAGGCTTGCAGAGTGCGCGCGTTGTGCGGTATTGCGGGGCCTGTCTCACAGCACACGCCGCTGCTGCTGGAGCCTTGCTACGTTCCGAATTCCTCGGCAGACGGAGAGCATGAGATAAATAATGAAGTCTTTCGCAATCTGTCACGACTCAGGCCGCTCTGCTGGCATCTCTGGGTGGCCTGGCGGCAGCACTGCGGATGGCACCTGTATGCATTGAACTCTTGGGAAGTTGGACGCGCTTTCAGAAATGCAAATTTCGGGCAGGGCCTGGCACGTTGTGGGATCTACAGCAGCAGTCCACAGTGGCCTGCGTTGCAAACCGAGAAGCGGGACACAAGAAATGACGACCAAGGCTGTGGGCGCAGCGTGGATCACAGAAGGCGCGGGAGCGCTGTAACCTCAGGAGGGGTGGCTGCATGCCAAAAGCTGCAGAGCAGGCCCAGCACTCAACACACTCAATACGTTCCTTCGGGCTGTTTCGTGAAGGATCCTCAGGCCCTGGCATACCCAGCATACCCAAAGCCACGTACCTGGATTTCTTATGCAACGCTCCAAAGCCTGTCACAGCGAGTCTGCAGGTAAGGACGCGGCTGACACTATGCGAGTAGGAACCATCGGGTGCGGCCGAAGCTGATGGCGCGGCGGGATAGCCTGCGCACAGAGAATCAAAGACCTGAATGCCAAGATCCTGTGCCTATGCGTTTAGGCAAAAGTCTGAGCTCCAGCGAGCATTGGGAAGCGAATGAACAAAAGGTCTCTTGTTGGGATTAGATAGAGGATCCAAAGTCGACCAAACAATACACATGGGTTGAAGTACAGCCCAAGACTGCTGGGAGCATGCGAAAGCAGTTCAGAACTGCCCTCCGCCTGTACGACCACCGGATGTTCCTGGCAGAACAGTTTGCGCATTGACACGTGATATCCACAAAAAGGATTGCCGAATCTGTGATGCTTGAGCAAACAACTACGTTCACACAAGCAGTTGCCACGCTGCGTGCCTGAACAGATCGCATGGCCCCTGTCACGCAACCCTACAAACTCAACACACTGAGTGCCCGAGTGCTGCGAGCCCTAAACGCTGCCTGCAAGTCGGTTGGTACAGAAAGCATTCTTGCAGCAAGTTTGTTCGTAGATGTCCGGAACCTATGAATTTCAGTACTGGCTTTTACCCGGGCCGAACGCAACAAGATAAACGGCCACAGGGGCCCTTTAATAAGAAACCAAATGCTAAATGGATTCAATGATTGCTGGATCGTCAACCGCCAAACGGCCCTAAGGGACGGTTCCTGGCATTTACTTTTCGCTTCTTGTCTCTGTCCAGTCCCTGTTGCCCAATCTTATTCAGACCTGCATCGCCTAGATTACAAAGGAGAACACACCAATTGATCCAGCGAAACCACTCCAGACGTAGCATCATATTATAGTGAACATCAAGATCCTGAGCCATCTTGGGTTTGGAGGAGCTATTTGCGCAGACTTCGAGCAGAGAGCGCTTGGTTAACGTTCTGCTGTTAGCTGAATTGCTGCATCAACGGGCAGGTGTCCATATTTGCGGCCACAACTCAGTGCTCTGTATAGCCCATCCCCCATGGTGGGGTGGGTCACATGCACGCCGCCCAAGCAGTGATGCACTAGATCACAGACTCAGACCACTGGTCGTCGTTAGGCACCTCAATTCCAGGACTCTAGAAATGAGACGGGTTTCAAAATGGAGTGTCTTGACGACTCTTTATGCGTATACGCTGAAGTAAGCTTTCCTCTAAGCCCATATCTCACGACAGTTCGCCACGCCTCCTCACAAAATTCAGGATCATCTTGCAGCCTCACGTCTGCTATTGCCGAGAAGTAAAACATTCTGTTCTGAAACCGGTGCAATTGTTGATATTTCGTTTGTGAGGTGCAACAACTGCCGATGTTTTTGGGGGTTAGGGCATCAACTTCGGGGCTAAGTGTTCACGGCTCAGCATAAGTGATGAAATGCTTCATGCACGATCAACCCTTCTGCAAGATTTAGGGTCGAGGCCGTCAGAGACATCTTCACTTCCCGGCTCTGGAAGGCCTGGACGCACCCTTTCCTAGGGATTGGCACTTTTTCGGTAGCCATAACAAGCAAAGAGGGTTGTTCAAGTGATCTGCATCCGGAATCTTTCATGGGCAATCACATGTGAAGTGTATGCTTGCCTAATCAGTGGACATGTCTGACCACCTACAAATGGCAACGCCTCCATGCGTTGAGGCGCTTGCATACCTGCAGAGACTCCAGCTTGCAGTTCCAAGCAAAATCGACAGACCTGCCGCATGTAAGGCTGGCACCTCTCCAGCAGCCGTCACCACATTCGGATTCTTGTCAGGATGCCATTTCAGCATTAGGGATTTCCACAAACGGTGGCGAATCTCCGGATCCTGCACAGTGGCTGTATCTCAGGAAGAAATTTCCAACACATTCTCCAACAACTTGTCCAGACCTCAGTTGCTGCTAGTTGCACATCGATGCGAGAAGCCACACACGTGACCTGGGCAACACTTGGGCAGCGCATGCAAGGGCACAAAGGGACTGCAGCATCGCAGCGTGTTACACGCGACAAGATCTTCCAGGAGCACGACAATACGATTTCTCATCGCACTCATGGCCTTTCACCGAAACAGAGTCTTCAAAGCAAATGAGGGCGCGCTTAAAGTGAACTGATCTGGTCTGATGTTTCAAGCATAACTTGGCTTGGCCTCGCTGTCAGGCTTGAAACGCAGCACGCTCTCAGCATCCTCTCGTAAATGTCTCGCATCAAGGGATGTTCTCACACAGTTGCTAAGCGTCCAGACGGTTCAGAGATGGTTCAGGCCTCCAACGCCTGCATCAAGTTTCCGAGCTTCTCGGAGGCTACCGCGCGCCGGTAGCGCACTTGCGCCACAAATTGCTCATCAGCCTGCGATAGCAGGCATGTTCCTGAAAGGCACAACTATTTGTTGGTGCTTTTGTGAAACTCTGAGGAATCCAGCCTTTGAGGAAACCCAACCCAGACATAGGCCTTGCTATGGAGGCTGTTCCAACCAAGAGAGCACATAACACGGCGGAATTCTCGTGCTGCGATATGCAGAGGCGGGGCTGCAGCCTGAATCTGTGCAGGGTGCTTGGTGTGTTGCCAGGTGTGTAATTATCTTTGTTCTTGTGATCTCTGGCAGTAGTTCCTGTTGTTTCTTGTTTGGCATGACGTGGACCAAGCCATGCGCACTCCTGACATCCGATCAAGGGCGAGAAGCCTCTACTGGTACACGAGGCCGCACACACCGCGAGTAAGGCCTTGCTAAACAGAGTCCCATACACAAGTGCAAATAAGCGATATAGCAAACACATGAAACTCCCAAGCAGTGGGTGAAAGCTACTACAGGTTCGTCGAATTCGCGCTCTGGCCGAGGTGCGGCGGCGCATGCGGAGTTCGGAAAGGTCCCAAACACCGCTAATAGCATGCTTTTGGCTTCGCTTGTGGTGCCAAATCGCGTTCTTGCCTAGGTCCCGTGCACTTTCCGCACTCCACATCGTCTATGTCCCGTGCACTTTTTACGGCCTGCGTCACAAAAAAGTGACAGGCACGCAGGTGTCTGTGTTTCGGGCTCTCGAATGGGTTCGCTTCTTATGGCCAGACTTTGGAAATCAAGCTCTCATCCAGGTTCCGCGTGCGTTCGTTTCGTCATGTTGCTTTTGGAACCTCTTGCGCCCTGCGCACTCTTGCCTGGGTCTCGTGCTCTTGGGACGATACTCTTGGAATTTGTTAAATGCCAATGGAATGTCCTCTGCAGCGATGGGAATGCTCTTGGGGTGTTCACGGAGTGCTCTTACAATGCCCTTGCGAGTCCCCAGGCCCCAGGGTCCCTCACTGTTTGGGGACTGCGCCGTAATGAGTTCAAAGTTCTCCTGGAGGGCGCATGGATGAAGAATGACAAAGATTGAGCGAGTAGGTTCAAGGGCAAAATGTCACATGATTTCAAGACGCGGCCAAGGGGGTGGCTTGGGGGGGTGGGGGGTAAGCCAGTGGCGACCGGCCCCCCGTTCGGGCAAGGCACCGCGCGGACGAGAACTTTCATGCGGCCTCGGGGTTCATCTGGAGGCTGTTTGCGCAGTCGTCCTGATTCACTTAAATCTTTTACATGGTGAGTACCACAAGACTTGAGCAACTACAGTCCTCTGCTAACGCCCACTGCCTTGCACACAGGACTGCGCAGCGCTAATCAGAATCGGAATCATCACAACACCACTTTACGAATTGCGAACATGACGTGAAGCAGGCAAGGAGCATCAGTTGCAGATGCGCGTGCGATCTGTTCGCGTACACCTCTGACATGCACTGCTTCCAGGACCTTAGAATGCGGAGTTGGACGCACTGTGCTTCACTGGGAACAGAAGCAGCACGTACAACCACATGTAGCCTCAGAGTCTCAGAGCCGCACTCATGTCTCTGCTCGGGGGGATACTGAGCAGCGGCACTGGTTGTAGGGATTGGCTGAATAACCCACCGATATGTGCCGTAAATACTTGGCGTGTTGTGACGCAGCTAAGGAACTGGGCTCCAAGCCAAGTCCAGCATGCACAAGGCCTTCGACAATTCCAACGTAGCCTTCATCCATTCCTTCAGCACGGAACTGCACGAAGCGAGACTGCGTTTTGCACTGAACATGAGGTCTGTGCGGTCTGGGCTGCTTTTTCGAAAGATGTCAGGGCCTGTCGCCTGCAGACAGCGCGTTTCCGAAAAATGGCGATGTTGAGGTGGCGGCCTTGCCATCTCGAAGCGGTCTTGGATGTCTTTGACCAATTTATCGAACTTCTCATTGGTCCTGATCCACGCTGGACGACAAGGACACAAGCTGCAAAAAAGATACACTTGCGTAATGCTCACAGCATGTGCCAGTTGCGCGAAAGGCCTTCTGATGCTTTCTGCAAAGTGTTGATAACTAAACGGCGCTGAAACTGGCGCTGCTCATGGACAGCGGCGACGCAACCGGTTTTGCTAGCAATGTGCGGGACATCACATTAGCTTACTTGAGAGCGACGGGCTGGGACGAAAGCTCAAGTGGTGAGACAGGACGTGAAGAGACAGACCACATATAACAACAAGCACCCAAGTGAAGCAATGCACCCAGGAGTGGGCGGGTGGGTAAGAAGATTCAAGCATGAAGCTGCAGCAGTTGTGGAAGTCTCGCCCTTGGAGCCCAAGTGGCAGCACAACACAAGATAAGAAACATGTATGAGTAAACACATAAAACGTGGCTCAAACAGGTTTTGGAGGCCCTATCCTTGTTGTACATTTTGGGGCCCTGGAAACGTACAATCACCTCAGCTGGAAATTTACAACAGCAGGCATTGGTGGGGCAATAGCCAGTCAGCAGGAGAAGCTTCCATATGGCCATGAGCAAGCGGTCAATGCCGCAAATGTTTATTGGGCCAATCGGGGGAATGAGTTGGGGCTAGGGGCTGGGCATCGAACATACTGCAGTACGGCAGTGAGAGAACATCTGCATGTGACATCAACGCAACGAAACAATGCACAGAGGTGGCTCTCGGTTCATTTCGGCAATCGCCGAGAATATGTAATGATCCACACCTGCGTATGGGTGGGGTCATTGTACATTAGTTGGGTGGGTCCCTCCAAGACCTCCCAAGATCTCTCCCCCCAAGATCCCCCCAAGATCCCCCCAAGATCCCCCCAAGATCCCCCCAAGATCACCCCAAGACCCCTAAAATCCCCCCCCCGAAATCCCCCCAAAATCCCCCCAAGATAACCCCCAAAAATCAACCCGAAAAGGCCCTCCGAGCCAACGCCGGAAAATCCAGCTTGTGGCACAGGGCAGCTCAAAAAAAACATACAAAATTGCCCCCCCCCCAACACCCCCCACCCCAGGATCCCACACTCACTTCGTGAGGTAAGAAACGACCCTTCGAGAAGCTTTCGTAAGAAAAGCATTCTCGCATGTGCGGCCAGTGTCCTCCCGCGAGCATCCAATGTCATTTCGCCATCTCTATCCTGCCGACGCTTGGTGGAAACCCAGAAAATGTAAAAGGGCATGCTGTTCAACTCAAGTGCGCTTGTCGAAAGAATCCCTTTGTCCTGATGCTCGTCCCACTCCTGAAGGAGATGTGCCGTGCTTCGCACCCACATCACAATCGCGAGCGTCCTCCAAAACATCTTGCGGAGATGGCGGGGCCGTGTTCACCGAAGGCCTCGATTTGCCGGTGTGACAGATTGAAATCACTCCTCAGATGTCCCCAGCCTGGAACTTCGCGGGGTTGAAAGTTCGGGCTGTACGGCAAATTGCCTTGCCTCAGAAAAGGCAGGTCTGTCTGCTGGTAGCTTTGCCCATCTTTGCCATGGTGAAGAGATCTTCCGGCCTTGCCCGTGCGTTGATCCACTCCACGAAGGGATAGCTTCAGCATCCCACCACTGCCAACCCCTGCGACTGGCACCCAAACAGTGGAACTTAGCAACAACAAGCGCCAAGCAAAGTTCAACCACGACAAAAATGAGATGCCAGAGCTTCGGCCTATGATTCGCACGAAGCAAGCCTGATTCCTGGCATGAAGCCGGTGCAAGCTACGCGACTTGCGCTTCTTGTGTGCTTAAGCACATTTCAACCGTGCCTCTTCAAAAGGTCAGCTGCTCGAATGATTTCTTCACAGCTCTCCTGCAAGCATGCGCTAGATACTGGTCCCACAGCAATCACTGTGTCAGGCCATCTCAGCACAAACTACTAGTCCTAACCTGACGGAAAGGTTGAGCGTGGTCAAGTTCATTCACTTCGGTCCTGGAGCTCCCGTGGATCAATCCATCCGTCTCCGTGGCCTGCGGCAAGGGCCGGCAAAATGCCCCTGCTTGGGTGCTCTGGCGATCCACGCATTAGGTCCGTTAAGTCCTGCAGAATGGTGAAAGCTAAGAGAGACACCCAAAAGTGGTAGTTGAAATGTACCGCAAAGCCGCAACTTCCTGCAAGCACGAAGAGGCACCAGGGACCCAGAATTGACACCACCACGTCAACCGTACTCTCACTCACATAGCTCAATCGCCAAAATCCATCCACACATGGCTGAATGCCCGACACTTGCAAGATCGTCAGGAGATAACGTCGCTCCCACTCTAAGTCAAACTACCTTGCTGCTACGTAAGAACACAGTTCTGTGAGGAAGCGGACGAGACCGGTGAGGGCGCAACGCAAACAAAGGAAGCAGAAACCAGGTTGAAACTCGCAACTGAAACCAGGCGGAACCATACCTGAAAGCAGCGCAGTCAGTTGGAATCAGATGGAAAACCTGCGCAGGTGACGCCCCCAACATGAAACGGAAATCAAGAAGGGTTGCAACGGACATCGGAAACCAGAACCACAAAGCTGTCTTCCCTGGCAGAGAGTGAACACTAAGCCATCAAAGGATGCCCTTCCCATTCCCGTCTTACTGTACGAGGCGGTTGCATCAATGCTCTAGGGCTGGGTTTGGGGTCTAGGGCATGCTGACTTCGAGTTCGGAACGTGGGAGAATGCAAGGTCTTTGCTCCCGGGCCCGCGACTCCCCCTGAAAGTGTCCGTTACAGTCCCCTTTAGTTTCTGCTGCGGTGTCTGGCCTAGTTTCCGTTACACCCCTTGTCGGTTTGAGTTTTGAGTCTGGGCCAAGACTGCAGAGTTTCCTATTACACCCTAATAGCTTCTGCTGCATCGATTACCCTGACAAAGCATTGGGGCTCCAAATATAGCATCAAAATTGTTTCGACCATAGCCCTGCCTTCCAAAGAAATGATGGCACCGAACTCCAGCAGTCGCAGAACCTGTGCGTGATTGACCGGAAGCAGTTTCAAAGGACCGGAAAGGATCCTACTCGCAAACAGAAACTTCCTTTTACGCTTATGTTATGAATGACACACACTCACGCACACATGGCCTGCCCCTTGTAGACATGGGGTTTGACCTCGGTCGGCTCATCCTCATCCTGATGACATAGGGTATGACACCAAACTGCAGGCCAGACAACACAACATTCCACCCGCATCTTTGAGCCGGAGCCTGGACGATGTTAGCAGGCGCAGGCCTGAAAAACCAAGTCTCACAAATCAATTGTTGATTCACATGCATGGCCACGCGCAGGCGCCCTTCTTCACCCCGTGCTCATCGTAAACACGATGGCCAAGAGCCCAACCATTGCCAGAAAAAGCCCGCGCAACACTCCATTGCATGTGTCAAGCAAGCGGCATTGATCCAATTGAGCTTAGTGAAAACTAGTTGTCTTTTTGCAAAATAATTACGGATCTTTGGCATACGATTGGCAACTGTGACAATGTAGCAGTATCGGACCTCCAGTCTGTGAATTTAAGTTTTGCCCGTCCAAGGTGCACTGCGTGGCTAAGAGCCGACAACAGCTCCAGAGACCCCCTTGCCGCCTCGACTTCCTATCCTGCCACTTTTGCCAACATGCACTCCAACGCTGTCACCAAACAAAACACAGAGAGAGGGGGGGGGGGGTGGCGTTTCCAATCTCTTGTACACGAGCCGGCAAAGCTTTGAGAATGCCGACCGCATCAGCACGCCTGGCGCACGTACGCACTTTGATTTCTTCAATGTGCATTCCTCAGGCAAGACCATGCCATTCAGCAAATTGCGCTCTCTTAAGCGCAAGCAGAAGGACTTCAGACGTATTCTTTTGAAGATTCCTTTGTCAGTGTCCAACAAGATAGTCATGAACTCCGGTCATAACAAAGACAAGAAGAACCGCTGTCGGCCATTGCAAAGGCAACAATGTACGTCCCCGATCTCCTGCCTAGATTTCAGCCCAATCCGCCTGCGGCCTGATCCATTTGCGCCAACAGTGCAAGGCCCACAGCTGCCGACACATAGAGCAGGAGGGCACCGCTAGTCTAGCTGCAGAGCAAAACTTAGGAACACCAGCAATGTTGGGATCCAAAAGCATGTTTTATGTTGGGTTCGGATCCTGGGCGAAGGGCCCTATGGGACTAGTTCTTGATGCATGCCGCAGGCCCGTAATTGTTCTTCTACATGCTGCATTTGCATCTCTCTCGTGAGCACAGCTTTCCACATAATCCTTGCGGCAAAGCATCAGCTGACTAAAGCCCTGTCCATTCCCTGCACTGCCATCTTGTGCCTGCCGAATCACCATGAAGCTTGGCTAACCAAGTCAACAATCGTAGACTCTACGTCGTTGAGGTTTGTTTCAGGAACGCTGAATCCTGGCACTCTTCTCGAAGGAACCCAGCTGGTTTCTAGTGGACCCTGTGGCATCTTACCCTGTTTTGCAAGAGCGCGACTGGCTGTAGCAAGCTCATCCACAAGCAGGTCCTCACAAGCTTGTCCAAGCTCGTCGGTGCTCCATATGTTGTAGGCCGCAAGACAATATAAAGTCTGCCTGTTCAGCAGTTCCCAGCGCAGGCCAGAAGCTAACAGAAACTGTCATAACATCTCATATCGACGAATCCACTGCGTTTCAAAACCTACGGGACCCTCCATACGGTCCATACGCATCCAGCACCTGGCTTGCAAGTGGCCAAGAGCCCTTCGTACCGACCAGCAGGTCGACGTTGATTGTTCCAACTTGTCTAGCTCCTTGCTGACGTCTGCAAAGGTTTTTCTGGGATTTTCGGCCGTTATCCAAAGGATTTCCATCTTCGCAATGATAAAGTGTTGACAATCCGGGTCTGGTTCCTTCTTCAGAAAGCTTACCAATAACGTAGCCCACTCTTGACGCGCAGCGTCGTCCAGCGAATGAAAAACAAAGTCCATCTGGTGAAGAATGCAGCACATCCTGTACCATCCAGACCCATTCAGACGGTCGAGCTCCAACAAACTTCCTGAAATTGCCAGCATAGCTGCTGCCAAGGATGTGTGAATCGACGGGGCGCTACGTGGCACAAAGAGCCTCAGAGCCAGAAAGGCTGCTAGCCACACCCCCTCATCCGGGCTGCTTGAGGAAAAAGACTGCTTCCAGCCCTGGCCAGGGACAAGTGCAACACTTGACCTTGGACAGGCAGCGGAAACTACAATCAAAACGCTTGGATTTTGTTGATCGTCTCCTTAATATGTGAGCAATCCTAGGAAATCAAGAATGAACAAGAACCAGATAGGAGCCACGAACCCGAATGCAGACACGTGACACGTACATGCAATGATAATGACACCCCACGGGCGAAACCACTTAGGAGACGTAGGTACGGGGTCATCCCTTTCTCCTCTTC